TTGCTTCTCAGCTTTCAAAGGAGTCTTCCCGTCTTTGAGAACATGGCCTTTCTCTTTATCAGCACTGAAGTGGTTAGTTGGTACAGATAACACTGAGACAACCAGCATGGTTGCGCACTAATGCTGTGGAGTGTATCCGCAAATGCACTTAGATTCACACACAGTCACACATACCCACTTGGATCAAATTGTGGAGATGAAATTCTCTCTTTCACAGCATCATTCAATTTCATAACACACTCTGAGTCACTTTGTTGACAGCAACGCCTGCCATCATGTTTCCCACACACAGGCCTCTTATTTCTGATCATCCACATACAAGCTGAAAATTGGTATATGCAAGGGCAAACACACGGGTCATCAGTTCCCCTCCCAGAAGGCTTGACCTGGCATCATGTGACAACGTAAACCGTTTAGCACACAGTCGAGAATATGACACAGAGGCACTTACATAAATCTGTAGGTAGAGACCCTATATGTTGCTTTATGTGCTACATTGGAGTCCTTGGGTGTATACACAAACACACACACTCACACACATGCTGACACACACACACAGGTAAGGGTTATCAGGTCCCCCTTGTCTCTAAAGTACTACATCACTGAGTCATTCACCTTGAATGTTGTTCATGTGTGCAAGGCTTTTCCAACCTGGACAGGAGCCAATCAATCAGCCTCCATCTCAGTTGGCCAGATTTGCCTGCTTACAAGCTGACTGCAAACCGGCAAATGCAGGACGTGGTATCAGTTGTTGACTGAGTGTTTGTGAAGGCACCGTGTTACCGGGGGTGTTTCAAATTGAATGACAGGGAATCCCTCTCTGTAATGCAGCATCAAAAAGAGCGATGGGACAAAGTGGGGAAGCAACAGTGGTGCCTATATACGTATATTACATTCACACCCACACATGGGCCTATACGTGCAAATACATACAGGAGCAAGAGTGCGATCATATGCATTCATGCATGAACACATACAGACACACACAGGAGGGCATACGGACACTCAAGCTGGGTACTGTTTGTGTTGTTTTTCTATTAGCTGTATGATGCCAAAACTATAAAAAAAAAAAATTGTATCCTGAGTTGAGCTGCCCACAAGATTTAAAGTGGTACTTTTGTGCAATTCTTTGTGGAGAAAATAAGATCTATTGATTAAATCAACTAATCGATTAGTCACCAAAATCGTATGAGTTATTTAGTCGACTAAGAATTTCTTTGGTCAAGGACAACCCTAATGTTGAGAAATAGAAACATAAACATAAACATGATTTTCAACAAATCCTTTTGGATAAAATAAATAAAAGTTAAATTTTGTCTAAACACAAGTTTCTATTTAAAATGGGCAAGATTTTGATATAAGTCAGGGACTATCTGACCATATAACAAGAAACAAGATAATGAATATGACCAAACATTTGATACTTAAGATACTCTGTGCTACAAACACAATTCAGTGAGTAGATACATTCATAAACATTTAGTCACACACACAAACAGAAGCGTCTGTTCATGCTTATTGATCTGTAAGTGGTGTGGCACCTTACCAGAGCTAACAGAGAAAGGGAAAAGAGAGTCTGCTTACAGACAGCACAGGTGAGAGTTGTCATAATGTCCCACATTCATATCTATAATTTCACCACTGCAGCCTGAACCCCAGCAGTTATCTTCACGCTGCACACAATGCCCTAAATTACAGAGTGATTAATGATTCCAGCTCTTACAGGTATTGGGCGGCCTGGTGACTCGAAACGGAAAACTGCTTCTGATGTGAAACTTTTAGCACAATTATGGGCAATAGCATTATCAACAACACATCTACAAATGTGATCAACATCATGGTGCTGTAGCAGAATCACTAACCCTGTGTTTGGCAGCTGTGGAAATGTGCTCTCAATGAACCATATATAAGCTGTGTGCTGCACACACAAGCTGAGTCACTGACTGTAGTTGTTTTGCTGTAGATCTCATTGCCTTTTCCTCGATGATTGGGGGGAAGAATAATGTGCACTCCCATCGACTGCTTCTCAAGGCCTTTTGCTCTCTGAAGGGGTGATGGATGCAGACATCTCATCTGCTGTACATCACTGTGTCTTCACCTGAACTAGTAACAGTGGTGGTGAGGGGCAGCTCAGCTAAAGCAGATGTTAAAAGGATTGGTTTTAAGGCATAACCCAAAGTAACCATTAACATGCAGTATACTTCAATGGTAAGGAATTTTAATTTCAGTAGTTTCTTTGTAGATTGAACCTTTTACTTGCAAAAACACAGCTTTAAACTTTTGAAGCATTGCAAAAACGGTTAATCGGCAAGAATATTTGTCTAATTACCAGTCAAAATATGTCATCACGTTTATATAAGACAGCCACATAACAAGTAATATTTCAGTGACACATTTATACAGTGCATCCTAAATATTTTGGGAAATACTACTTTTGAGCATTAGTTACACAACACCTCCTAATAGTGGAATATGTCTCAAAATTAGTTTCCCTCGCTCCTTTCCTTTTATCTTAAAAAGCATACATTTCCACTTGTTCCATGGCAGATTTGTTTTTCCTGATTATAAACAAAAACACCTTGTATTCATTGCGTTCTTCAATTATTTTTTAAGTGGTTTTTTTTATGTTGAAAGTGAACCAACCCCAATCCTGGTATTTACGTCAGCCCTCATTTTCCAACTGGGTCTGAGTTAAACTTACACACACATATGAACAACCCTCACTGCCTGCAGGAATCAGTGTCTGCAACATTTGCTATGATGCTATTTTTCTGGCTAATAGTTTTTCACGTCTAGGGTTTTCTGTTTGAAAACATCTAAACTGCCAGACCTCTAATAAAAAGTGATATGTAGGGTAAAGCATTGTCCCTTAAGGTTTCTATTAGTATTGCTACTAAAAAGATGTCATCATAGTTTCTTCTGTGTCACATCTCCTTTGACATCCAAAACAAAGGAAACTTATGTGGTATGTTCTTCCTCACCCTGCATGGAGGTATTACACAGAGGCATGATTTTTGCCATACTACAGCAGTGCCAGGGTACTAACAGATATCCCAGCCTGACCACGGAGCACACTCTCAGATATGATGGCGCTGGGAGAGATAGTGTTACCGGAGGGCAGACAGATGCATCAGGGCTACTCCCGTACAGAGATAGACCCAGTCCTGCTGCTCCTCCTGTTGATCTATGCTTGGCAGCGTGGACTGTAGTTGAGAAGGCCGATCAATAGCACACACTAAAGCCATTCTCACCCAGGATAAACACAACCATGCCTCTAGACTGCTGCTGATTCTGATGCTCACAGTCTCTGGCACACAAGTTGCTTGGAAACGCCAAATCTTCCTTCTCTTAAGAACTGTTTATTTACACATTCATGTTGGATTACAGTGCACACAGCTAGGGATAACATTTACTTTACCCTAAGTAGATGTACAATCTCTACTACTTGTGTCTGACAGGCTACACGGTGCACTTTGGATGTGTACTTCCGTGTATTCTCCCTTGTCACAGCTTCAGAAACTGCTTTTACTGGAGCAACCTTATTGAAATCTTGAGCCTCTCTGATCACTCGTACAAAAAACAAGCATTAGTATTCAGGTGGCTGACAATCAGATTAATGTGGCACCTTTCAAAAGCCCTCTGTCCTCTTCAATCACATTGTTTGCAGCAGCTGGAGTCTCTGGGCTCTGCAAGGTCTCCTGTCTTGACCTGAGTGTTGACAGAGGATCCTAACCTTCTCTCCTGCTCTGCAATGTGTCAAATACTGTAATCTGCACTGCCTGGGCTTTGTAACACTGTTGCTGCTGTATTCAGTTCACACCTGCCTTCCTAACTGTGTCATGTACTGTAGTACTCCTTCTATTCTACATACATATAAAATCCTTTTCATCAAGAATGGATGTTTAGTTTAAAAAAAAAGTGCACAAGCACACTGAATAGCCTGTTTGTAACCTTTGACGTTCATGACCCCTGGAAAGGTTATGCACTTTTCAAAGGGGCGTTAAATATGTTGAGACCGATGCTCTGCCACAAATATGTTTAAGAGCCTGATGTGCTAAGTGGTTCATTAATATTTAACACCAAGGGAGGTCTGTGTTTATTTTTACCTTTTGAGCTCGATTCATGCTACATACTAAGACATGCAGGACCTGACTATGCGCTGCAACATATTTGAACTATATTCATGCAAACAACTAAAAGATGATGTTTATTCAACCCCTCCTAGTCTTTCCTCAATTAGCGGCAGTCCTTACAATGTCATCTATGGGTTTGTCCGGGAGGGTCCTCACATGAAAACAACCGTCAATCCCGTACACCCTAGCCTGCACGTAGTTGCCCCTCCCTCTCCCTCTCCCCCTCTCTCCATCGCCATCCGTCCGTCTCCCCTCCTCCCTGCCTCCCTGCCTGCGCTGAAATTCTTCCTCTGCTCGTTTCTTTTATCCCTATTACACATGCAAATAATAACAAACTGTGCAAACGCCCCTGACAAAGGCATTATCTCCTGTCTCTTTTTCCTCTCTTTCTCCAAGCCATACCGCCCTATAAATAAGCACTATCACAGCGTTTCCCTCTCCCGCCTCCCTCTCCTCCCCACCCCTCTCTGCCTCCCACTCACACACATATACATACTGCCAAACAGCATCATAAATCAAGGGATGGGTGGGGGGAGGGAGGGGAGTAGGGAGGTGGGGGGATGCAACCACACACACAGTAGCACATTTTTAACACATATTGTCTGTGACATCTTGTCTGTATTCGGGGTACACATCTTCTGTGACCAGAACTCTAACTTGCTTATACACTGCACTGAAAGAGAAGCAAACACCTCTCACACACACATGAACACACACATAGATATAAACAAAGCCTGTCCATACGTGGTCTCCACACAAACATTCACTCCTGCAAGACACCCATCCTCCTGCTCATCCTTCCCCCCCGCCCCCACCTAAACCCCCCCTCTAGTCCGCAATGAGCGAGGGAAGAGAAGCGGGGCTTACTCAGTGTCCTGGAGCCGATGCATCCCATGGTGTATTCACAAAGGCCCTGGATACAAGCGAGGAAGTGTTACCCAGACACCGTGCATTCTCCCTCTTCCTCCTGCGACTCTCTCGTTCTCTCGGCTCTAGCTTCTTTTTCTTGCTCTCCTGTGCTCTCTCTTTCTCTCTCTCCCTCCTGCGCTTGCTCGATCACTCACTCTCTCTCTCTCCCTCCCTCTCTCTCTCTCTCTCTCTCTCTCTCTCTCTCTCTCTCTCTCTCTCCCCCCTGCTCTCCCTCTCTCCGGTGCAGTGTCTTAGAAGAGATCCGGTTAGTAAGTCAGTATGCCTGGGGGTAATAGATTAGGACAAAATAAAGATGCAAAGAGGCATTATTAGCATTATTTAAACAGGTGTTTCTTCTATTTTGATAACAGCTATCAATATCACCAATATGTTATCAATAATAGGAGATATCCAATCCAATTTGGAGCCATTATTACATTTACCTAAACAATTTTAGTTATTGGGACAGACAATGACAATATGATTGGGTCATTTGTAAATGAGAAAGATCAAAACAAACACAGACATTAAGCTAATGAGAGGTTAAACAACAATTAGATAGACTGTGTGTGTATTGGGTTGCCACTACAGGATCAATAGCACAGTGCTGAGAGTGCCGCGCTGCCATTGTTGTAGATATCTCTGCACTGCCGTAATATTGTTGAGCTAAAATGGGGGATTCTCTCTCTGTCTCCCTCTCCTGTGTGCACTCAGCCCAACAAAGTGCTGCAGCGGTTTTCTCTCCCCTCTCTCCATCTTCCTCTCATCACCTCCTCCCTCCCTCACACAAATAAATGCATGCACGTACACCAATATTAAACAATCCTGAACAAACAACAATAACAGCTGAGGGTTTTCCTTCACAGTCAAGCCGCTGCTTGAGTCTCCACCTCTTTCTATGTCGTCTCTCAGTATTGATCCGCCCCTCAGTCGTCTCTGCACCTATTTCTTGCTTTCTGTTCACTTTAAATCACACCCCCATGTCGTCCTCTATTCCCTCTTATTGTGTTTGCTCTCCTCGCATCATTTCCTTTCTCCCACCCTCTTCCCCGGGGAAACAAATGAGAGGAGCTTTTTTTTTACATCTCTCTCTCTATTTGACTTGCATCTGTAACACCACCACACCTATACCTTCCTTCATTCTAAATCCCTCTGTCTTGCTTCAGTTTACAAACAACACCGGACCTCTTCTTTATTTACCTACCTGTCTTTCTTTCTCTTCTTACTCCTTTTCTGTCTAGGAAGCCCCCTACCCCTCTCTCGATTACAAATGAATGTGTGCTGTTTCTAGAAGTGTTTGCCCAGTAAATGACGCAGGAGCATTCTGGACAGTGAAGGGTTGTTTGTGGGGGGAATGCGTGTGGTCACTCTTGTTTTGTTGACTTGATGGACATTTGGGTGAAGAAGAAGAGGAGGAGAGCTCGACAGATGGAGGGGACAGAGAGACAAAGACATGGGCAGATGGGGGGGAGTGATGGGAAGGAAAGCAAAGAGCAGTTGAGTCATGTGCGGGAGAGGTGTGGGGATGATGCTGTGTGAAAATAAATAAATAAATTAGCACTCCAGAATGGACGGAGGAAAAAGACAACAATCGAATCAGTTTAAGAATTAAATAGATTCAAAAAAGAGATTCAGAAGCATGAATGTGCAATGAAGGGCAAAGACATAACAAATCATACATAATCCAGCCATTTCCTGCAATGTGGGTTTATATATAGATGTCTGTTTGCTCTCTCAGCTTCATTCAGGGCTGTTGGCTCACATACGCTGAACCAGGTTGGGGAAAAATAAATGTACTACCCTCCTCTGATATGTGTAATTGCAGACTGAGTATATTGTCCTCGACCCAATCTCCCTCTCTGGCTCACAATTCCCCCTCCATCTGCCCATCACTCTGTGCAAATCACTGTCTGGAAGTATAACTATCTATCAGTCATTCTCTCTCTTCGCATGACGCCTCACAGCAATTCATGCTTTTTGCTGAACTCCTCGGTTGATCTAGGTGTATCTGTCCTGCTTTAAATGTTGTTCCTTGTCAACACAATTCATATTTGGCTCTCGTTTTCTTTGCCCATTCTTCTGTATCAAAGGTCGTGCATATTTTACCCTGTGCACAAACTATGACAGATTTCTGAGATGCAAAGAAACTCACCAGAGCTGCAACGATTATATTTTGATTCTTGAACTTTTGAGAATCAGTTACCTGTTTCAGTTCATTTGGAGGCAAATATTTTATGGTTCTAAAATGGGCTGCTTTTCTTTCTCTTGCTATTATTTTATTAAATTTGAATATCCTTTGGTTTTGAACTATTGATCAAACAATAAAAAACATTTTATGATGTGACCTTGATCCTCTGGAAAACCGTGACCTTCATTTTTCACAGTTTTACAAGTGATTAATTGATTAACTGAGGACGACATCCTCATAATGAAAACAATTGTTAGTTTCAGCCCGATCACACGCACACTCACACAGAATACAGAACACCTGTGACAGAGTGCTGATCTACGATACGGACCGTCAATGTGGAACAAGGTCAACCACAGAGGGAGGAAATTCTTGACGCTAATCTCACTCATGATACATGGGCCATTTACATTGCTGCCTCTTACCGTCTTTGTCTGCTCTTTTCCAACTCACACACACGCACATTTCTACACCAGTGCTAACAAACGATGTACAACAACATGAACCCGCCTTGCAACACATGACGCAGGCGACTTCTATCGTGTTCCTGTCGGCACGTCTCTTGTTTTCCTATCTGGGTCGATGCTGCACTGAATTCCAATTTGGCAGTCCCTGTTTAATATGATCTCATATCACCTCAACATCAGTGACTTTCATGTACCTGTCACTATCTGTCTATCAGCTCCTGGCTGTTCTGTATATAGGCTGCATCTCAAGGATAATGAATAACAGCTTTAATGCTGTCTCGTTCAAGATGTTCTGTGCTGATGAACGGAAATGCCTGTCCTGTTTCCAAATTCATTCTTAAGGTTTTAAAACACTAGCTCCGACTGTATAAAATATGGACCAAGTCTCTGTGACGTCACTCATAGGATTGTGAAGCTTAAAGGTTCGATCCCCGGCTCCGCTAGTCGCATGTCGTTGTGACCTTGAGCAGGACACTTAACCCCAAAATTGCTCCCATAGCTGTGCCTACGGTGTAGAATTGTGATCGAATCTGAAGTCGCTTTGGATGAAAGCGTCTGCTAAATGACTGTAATGTAATGTAAAGTGGGTTTCTCCGGTCATCTTGGCAGTGACGACAGCCTAACTCGCAGCTAATCCAAAAATGGGCAGAGGTACGGCTTGTTTCTTTATAGATTCTTCATCACAAACAAAATTAGAGAAATACATCTGAAAATATTACACAAAATATATAACATTTATATTTTAATGTTTTTGTTGTTAACAAATGTAATTTCTATAAGATTGAACAATATATGTTTTTGATTCATCTTTTTTATGGTTGCCTATATTGTATTACATTTTGGAAAGACTGAGAATTATATATTGTGCAAACAAATACATGCAATTAATATTGGCAGTAAATGTTATCACTTATTTGGAATGTGATGAAATGCTCTACTGTTAACCTTTTTATCTTAATAGAGACATTTTATATTCTTAAAGCTAAATGTCTTAAGTCAACCCCATCTTTTAAAACTGAATATTGTTTTGAGTTAATTCAATTTATAGCAAAATATCCATGTCAATAACTAAAATTTACCTAGAGATGTTTGTCTGAAGAAGTCTGTCACCTAAATAATTAGGTCAAACAAAGGCTTGCATGCTTACATTGTCAACACAACACTTTGTAAATGTTAGACTTAAGTACATTTTTTTCAAACAGAAAATGGGCGGTGGATTGTAGGTGGGACTGAGGCGGGCCAGGGGGACGCATCAGAGGAGACAGCTAGCAGCTAGCCACCTGTTACGATGCCCACCTGTCAATCAAAGCGACCATGCCTTTAATTATGACTATAAATCAACCTCCTTGTACAGTTGTCTTGAACGGGGAAATTAGCTAGAAACCAAAACCGTTTTATGGACCAGGCCGTAAACATTTCTGCTGTTCAATTGGGCATTTTAACATGCGGGTCTATGGAGATTGAGTTGCTTTTAAAGCCAGCATCAAGTAGACATTCAAAGAACTGCAGTTCTTAGCACTTCCACGTTGACTTCATTTATCAGCACCGGAGGCTGAGGTTTGGCTCAGACTGGTTAAACTCCTCTAAAAGATGCAATTCTCCCATCGCCTTCACCTCACTGCCCACTGCTTACCATATAGCCTTGTATTTAACCTGTGCTCTGCTGAACCAAACTGCTGCTGGTGTGTTATATATTAATTGGAACCGCATGTTACACATCCACCACCAAGGAGCCACCAAGTTAGTTACACAAGAATGTGTGTGTGTGTGTGTGTGTGTGTGTGTGTGTGTGTGTGTGTGTGTGTGTAAGAAAGGATATGTGTTGGGCAGGAGTGACGAGGGGTGGTAGAGGGAGCAGAAAAGGAGAGAAAAATATGAAGTGGGGAGAGAAAGATGGGGGAATTCTCTGTGGTTTGTTTTTGAGGAGGGGGCGTAGGAGGCGGGTGGGGAGGAGGGAGTGGTATAAACGTTGCTATAAAAAGAGGCAGCCTCTAATAAGGTGTTCTCTAATGTGGTTATGTGATCAGCTTTGTTTCAGCCAAAGAGAGTTTATATGCATTATTAGTTGATGCTTTGGCCTGGCAGTTCACCATTTCTAGCTTGAATTCGTCAGCACACAGTTATATATTTATGTGTTTGTGTGTGGGTTGTATTGAGTCTCTGCGCTCTGGATGTGTGTTTGTGCACTCCAGTTCTTACACAAGGCAAACCTTGCGTACGAGGAGTTCCCAACTCTTCTCTATTATTTACAATTCTCCTTCCTGTTCTCCTGCACTCACCCTACATTCTCTCTTGCTCCAGTCCTGCCGGTCTAGACCACCACCGATGCAGCACTCTTTACCCCCAGTGATGCTTCTGTGTCTAGCCTCTCATGTGTCCATTCTCCTCAACCAGCCTATCAGTCTCTTTTAGAGTCATGTCAGTATCTAAACACCCTCCTGTCCTTTATTACATCCCTAGCTGATGTGAATTTGCTTGATGTCAAGAGATTCTGGAAGAATATTCTTCCCTCAAGGCAATTTAGTCTGGCTGTGCACGCCACAGTAATGTATACCCTGACACCTGTTGGGGGAACTGGAGTACTGCAGTCTAGCAATGGCTTTGACAAGCAGCCAGTTTGCCTGCAGAGAGGTTTCTCTGGGTGAAGAGACCATGTGTTGTGTCTCAAGTTTGCAGGTTCTCATCCTGTCTAAAATGCACCTGGAATTTCTGCTTATTGGCTTAATGTTGTTTTCTTTGTGGGCACAGCTATCTACTTCCATTGTAGGCTACATTTTATGTTTATACTAGTGAGAGGATGCTACATTACAAAATACTTCATCAACTTCATCTCACATCCCAAATCTAAATGATCTTAGATTTGTTTTACAAGTGGAATTGTGGAAGGCTCTTTCTTGCACTGTACCTGGATGTTTATTTAAATTCACACTTTCTGGCAACACACAATGGGAAAAAATCATAGGAATGAACACAGACTTTGTTTATTATGTCATTTTGCAAAGATTGGCTATATCTTAAAGAGCATCCAAGTAAGTAAATTAGCTCAATGTGTAGCCAGAAAGTGTAAAGCAATGCTATGGAAGAAACCCCGCTCTACAGCTAAATCATTTTTAAAAGGAACAGCTGGGTTCCCTTTGAAAAGATCACATACGGAGGAATACAAGAGCTTATATAACTATATCGGTGGTGGAATTGTTACTACAAAATATAGCAGTCTTTGTCTCTTTTAAAAACTCTGTTTGAAAGCTTGGAAATAAAAAGATTTATGGGTAGAACATATGTCTTTAAAATGCATTTCCCAACATGTACTTTGCATTCAAATGGCTTTCAACCTTTCCTTTGTTGAGCAAATGAGTGTGAGCAGAGAGAGAGAGAGAGAGTCGGAAACGATCCAAGTTCAGGATATTAACTTACTGAGGTATTATGAGGCAGGTAGTGACTCACATGAGCAGTGGGAGGTGGACAGGGAGGAGCAGAAGGAAAGATAGGAAGGGAAATAAAAGTGCAGCGTTTGGAGGGCAGACTGAGGAATGGAGAGATCGGGGGAGAAAAGTGGTGAGAAAACATGCAGCATGAAACAGAGAGAAAATGAGAAATATGGCACTTTGGAGAAGGGGGGGAAGAGGAACTGTTCATTCCAAGGTTTGGCTGCATTCCAGGCTGTCTGGCTCTGATTTCGACAGCCTCCTGTTTTCCTAGTTTACCTCCAGACTGACTGAAGCTGCCTTCTCCCTGCCTGATCCAAACTTGATAAGTAAAATAGTCAGTCACCGTGGCACCACCCACTGTTTGCAGCTGGCTGACAACAGGCAGAAGAGCGTCACACATGGTTCATTTCAGCTTCCTTACTCCCGTCACATGCTCAGTCGGAAAGCAATGTGTGAACTAGCTGGAATTTGGAACGGCAAACAAATGTTGACCTCCTCTCACATGCCACCTGCCTGAGAGCCGGCAAGCCAGTTTTTTTCCCCAAGGACAACACCAGAGTTGCTGTGGAAATCTCTGAATGGAAACATATTTTGTCCCTGTGGAAGTGGAGAGAGACTGGAAACATTCCTTGTGGGACAATGGGCTATCAAAGACCCCCAAAGACCACTCCCTTTAGTTAAGTTCACAGACATGAATCAGGCAGCAACAGGTTACACAATAGCTACTGCAGAGGTCTGCATGGAGGAGATCTCTGCCTTCAGTTTCACAACCTGAATTAAGAGCAATTCTGTTCTGACTCATCCTAAATGTCATACTGGGACCTGGAAATTGGTGGCAATGTAACGTGTGCGAAATAAGTCAGAACTGAAAGTGCTGCGCACTCTGGAAAAACATCCCCTTTAAAATGTTATTTAGAGTCAATTTAGTGTCTATAGCAAAGACAAGACATGGAGAATGTTTACCACTAGTATGAGATAACGGCAATATTATTGATTGATCAATACAACCCCAGGTGACATCATCAATTTGTTTGTTTTTGTCCGACTGACACTCCCAAGCCTAAAGATACTCAGTTTATTATCACATGAGATAATGAAAACAGCAGATTCTCCAAACTGAGATGCTGAAACCACCAAAGCTTTGGAATACTTGCTTGAAAACCTACTTTATTCATTGATAAGTTATTCAAATAGTTGATTATTTGCCTGTCGATTGACTTATCAACTAATTATTTCAGTTCAGAATAGGTAAAAGTGAGACGTAAAATCTTAAATTCTTGAGTTGCTTTTGCATTAGGAAGAGGTGAAACGCTCTCTCTCTATTTTTACTGTACCTGTCTTATTAAAATCGAAATGTAAAATAACAATAACATTTCAAAATGTTACATTTGCAAATGTGATAATGAAAGCAAATGATTGATAATTAATTCATGGTAAAAAGACTCAATAATAGACATGCTATGAGAGATTTATTGCATTGTAAAAGCAATGACTACACCTGAAAGTGATAAGACTCAAAGGTTTGGGCTGCATGAGTAACCAAGGTGTTTGACGTGTGTGTGTGTGTGTGTGTGTGTGTGTGTGTGTGTGTGTGTGTGTG